TTTTTTAAAGCGCTGAGGATGAATGAACCAGACAGGATGGTTCTTCCTGAACAAGGTTATCCTGCAAATACTGAGGTGGTAAACCATCTAGATTAAAAGCAGCACTTTGAATTATTCTTACATGCCAACAGGTGGACTTCTATATTCTACACTAGCTGAAATTTCTAGGTTGTTTTCAATATGAAATCCACATACAATGTATTACAGTGGTCCATATGAAAAGTGATGAAGGCATGGTTAACCATCACTAGCATCTCAAGCTCCAGAAAAGGTTGCCACTCACAATAATTTTCCTCCAAAAATATGCCTGTTTTTTTTTTATTGCTGGCAAAAATGCATCATCAAATTCAGATGACTACAAAATTAAGGTACCGTAATAACTAAAGTTTCTTTTGACATACTGATTTGAAAATAAACAAGTAGGTTCCCATTCAAATTTTAACTAAACAAATTTCTCTATCTTGTTGAGCCCACAACTCCTATAACCCAAAGTTTTCATAGCAAGTAGGGCTGCACTATTATATACCAAAGTCTAAGAATTCTGGAAAATCTAAATTTAAGAAAGGCTGGTATGAAGGACAAACACGCTCTTGCTTTCCAAAAAGCAAATACATTTGTTTATAAGATTTAAATATGTAATTATCTTGCTTTGCCTCCAGAATGTTATGGGGTGATCAAGACAGTCTTTTCTGCTTATAACCTCCCCGTTTTTTTGTACAGCTTTTTCACCTTTTTTTCTTTTACAGTTCTCTCCCCCCCCCCAACAATTAAAGTGGAAAGGAAAACTGCTGCACAATCTTTTCAGATTTGCAAAGTTATGTGCCCGCCATAAGGAAATTTCATTCTACCCAATTCCCAACCTGAAGATTTATCAAATTGTGCTTTACGTTATCGTGATTATAAATGAGGCCCACCATTTTCAAAATTATATTTTGCCAATTATTTTCAAGAGTTGTTAGGAAAATGATTAGATGAAAGATGGTTTAGAAACGTGAGGAAAACACTGTAGAAATTCATGTATTTGCTGCAATTAATTGTGGTTTGTGTGACTAAGGATAAATAGCAATAGCAATAGCAATAGACTTATATACCCACTTAACAGTGCTTTACAGCCCTCTCTAAGAGTTTTACAGAGTCAGCATATTGCCCCCAACAAACTGGGTTCTCATTTTACCAACCTTGGAAGGATAGAAGGCTGAGTCAACCTTGAGCCAGTGAGACTCAAACTGCCAAACTGCTGGCAGCCGGGAGTCAGCAGAAGTAGCTCGCAGTACTGCATTCTAACCACTGCACCACCAGGGCTCTTAAAACCAGTCACCTGTTATAATAAAACAAGCATAGACATAGACATAGACAAAAACATAAAATAGAATATAACAAAAACAAGAATGATACAAAGAGCATTGGGTAAAAACTTAAATCACAGCAGTCTAATCAGAAGGTTTGTCAGTAGGAAATCAGCATGCGATACCAATATTTGAAAATGAAAGCAGACATTTTTAACTGCTAAACTTTCCTACCAATAGTACTGTTCCATGTAATTTAACTTCCTGTAATAATATGTTATGTTTAATTAATGCAGGATTATAACACACAACTAAATTCCACTGCTGAACTGGGATGCAATTCTGCATGGTGAAAAGAGCCGTATTTGTATCTAAAGCAGGCATGTCCAACCCACAGCCTGTGGACTACATGCGGACCTGGACAGCTAGTAATGCACAAGATCATACACTTTTAACATTATGTGATTTATATGTATTAACTATATTATATATTTTATATGCGACACAGGGCAATTTGTCTTCATTAAATGAGGCCTGGACCAGCCAAAAGGTAGGATATCCATAAGGATGCAGATACAAATGAAATATGACTCTTGAAGCTATCTGGCCTGTATTTTGAGAAAAGCAAATCAAAGCAAGAAGTTCCTTTCTCTTGATCAATGCTCAAACTGATCTCTGCACACTGTGCTCTCAAAGACATCTGTATGCAGAGGCAGCATCAGTCACATTTGTGTGAACTTTCATCCTGTTGAAATCTGGTCAGTTGATTCTAGATTTATTACATGTTTAATTTTAATTTTCTTCAGTGCTTTTTTTCTAAAAAAAAAAAAAAAAAAAAAAAAGGTGCCAGAACTCACACACATCATGCAACCCACCTTGCCTACCCTATAAGGTTCCATCCAAAAAAAGTGCTGGAACTCCGTTCTGGGTGTTCTATGAGAAAAAAAAGCCCTGATTTTCTTTATGATCAACTGAGTTTTCAACAATGATATTTGTATTAAGCTGTTTATTGCTTATGCATTTCTTTTAAAAGACTATTTTCCTGATTATTATTTTAGATTATAGGCTTATGCTGCAGTGAATACATTTTTTATTAAAACAAATGGACCAATTCGAAAACATTACCAAATTTATTGCTAAACATGCATTCAAAAGCATGCAAATACAAGTAGATGAATAGAATCACTTCAGTGGGAAGGTAGCAATGGTGTTCCATGTGCCTCGGCATATAGACATACTGACCACATGACCATGGAAGCGTCTTCAGACAACGCTGGTTCCCTCGGCTAGGAAAGGGAGATAAGCACCACCCTCTAGAGTTGGACATGACTGCTCAGGGCAAACTTTTATCTCTTTTTAAAAAAATACATGCTAAGGATGATGCTTGATTCAGTATGAACTTTGCTTCTAAACGGTTGTAAAACATCTTTTAATCCGATGTACATTGTAAATGGGGTTTACGTCCAATTTTAAGATAGAACCAATACACACAAATATTAAGCACCATAAGAAAATATAAGTACAGTACCTATTGTTAGCAAACACAGTCCAAGGAACAAATTGAACAATTTATGGCAGGTTATTCCTGATAGAAATTCTTGACTTTCAAATATATACCTTGTTAGACATGTCACACAAAACTCACCCAGAATTTAGAAACACCCAATTTCCACACCGAGAGGTATGCAAATCTGCGTGGGAAGCTCCAACATTATTGTTCCCAGATCAGAAAGAGATTATAATGCATGCAATAATTACTCAACAGAAAATCACATATACAAGCATTTGAAGAGGGTGTGTCAAAAAATATAAAAGTATATTGAGGGTTCTTGCTCACAAACATGCCCTGGTAACCCCCTTTTCTGCCATATCCACATGTTACCTACAAGATGAGTGCATAACTAAGACAGCCTCTTTCTTCTCCCAGCAAAATTTAGCCCTAAATGTGCTCCAGCACATTTCAGTGACTTCAGTGGCTGCTGATGTGGTTCAAGAACTGAGATCTGCCCAGGTGGCACACAAGTTTAATAAATTATTATAGTTCATCACACAGTCAGCTGGATATTTAGGCTGAATTTGACATTTTTGTATGCCTATTGAGAAGGACTTGGGATGAGCAGATGTGGATGTTTGGTAGTATTACAGATATTGTTACACAATGTAAGTGGTTGCAAGTAAAGCTGCCTTTTGCAATTGACTAATGGTGAATTTATCAATACTGATGGTGTTCCAGTGGTACTCTAGTTGTTTTGGGATTGCACCTATTACTATTTTATTATTGTGGTTCATCACACAGTCAGCAAGATATTTAGGCTGGATTTGGCACTTTTATCCACTTATTGAGTCCTTGCCAAGGACCTGGGATAGGCAGATGTCATTTGTAGGGAGAGTGGTTGGCAGCTGACTTCCAGACAACTGATTAAAGAGAACATAAAGTCGCAGATCCACCATTCCCTTTCTTTAACTGGTTCGGTCTGCTTTTTTTTTTGCATTGAAAACAGGTATCAAAAACAAAAACAAATTCTCAGAACTTTGATGAGTACGTTTCTTGGAAGGAGGGTTAAGCTAACAACACAAGAATTCCAGGGAAGGCTTTACTTTTACACGAGTCCCCTATTTATAAGCCATTATGGCAACAAGATTCGGGAATATTTTGTGAGACGAAAGGGGAGAAAGCCCAGCTCTCTAGTGCACCTGTCCTTGTTTTGGAAACAACTACTAGACTTATCCACGGAAGAGCCGATTCACAATAGGCGCGCAAGGGCAGCGTCTTTGGAGGCGTCCTTGTTGTGACAGGGGAGGGGTCGGCAACGCTCACGCTAGGAATTGTTCCGTCGGCTCAATGCCTGGTGGAGAGAGAGCACGTTAAGGCAGCCAATGGGAGCAGCCCTCAGGACGGGAGGAAGAGGGACCTCGGGGAGGAAGAGCCCTCGGGGGGGGGGCTGATGGGAAGCCCCATCAGCCTTGCCTCCTTTGCACCCTCCTCCCCTTTTAGGGTCAACAGCACGAGCCGCGCGCTTCCAAGACTTACAAATAGCCCGGAAACTTTCTTGGAACTTTGCCTGCCGCTGACGACAACAATCGCTCCGGGGCCCCATCCTCTCCTCTCAGCCAATGGGAAGCTTGGGGGGCAGGACCCGCGGAGACCAATCCTGAGGCTCTGGACAGTTCCCCGGTCCTGACCGACCTTCACCGGACGGGAGCAGGGAGGGCATAAAAGAGCCCGGAGGAGGCAATTGGAGTTTGGCCGCCGCTGTCGCCACCGCTGCTGCTGCTGCTGCTGCCGAGCCAGACGGCTGCGCGGCGGCGACTGCTGCTGTTCCTGCCCGCTGCTTCTCCTTGGCTGCTTCCTCCGAAAAGGAGCGGCGGTCGCGCTCGGTGCAGCCGGGAGCTGCTGTTCTTCCGCAGGGGGAGGAGAGCGCAGGCAGCGGAGGAGCGCACGGGGGCGGGGAAAGAGCCGCGGCTGCCGGGACTCCCTCTGGTGCGTTGCGCGCGGCCGCAGCCAGAGAAAAGCAGCGCGCGGGGAAGCGGCTCATTCATTCCTGCAGCCAGCCCCGAGGAAGAACCGGCGCAACCCGCAGGCGAATCCCGCCTAGCTGCCTTCTTTTGCGGCCGAAAGAGAAGGGCTTGGATCCCGCTCCCCCTTCGCTCCGGCCGGGTCCGTGAATGCCAGATCTAACCCCCGGGCGGTTCGAAAGGCCAGCGGGCTGGCTGGGAGTTTTGGGGTGGAGACGTGTGAGGTAAGAGCTCCGGGGCATCTGGCGAGAGAAGGGGAAGATGGAGAGCGGGAGAAGGCAGGCAGGCAGGCAGGCAGGCCGGCGAGGTAGGGGGTCGTGGCAAAGACGGGTCGTGCCGGAATTGCGTCTGCTGCTTGGGAAGACTGAGGGCGAAGCCGGGAATGGTGGGTACCGCCCATTCTCCCTTCAAGCCTTGAAAGATGAAACGCCAACCCCAAATGCGTGTTTTTTATGCTGTAAGAAACACCGCTGGGGAGAAAGGCTACTCGGGAGGAAGGAAGGATGGTTAATATTTGGAAGGGAAGGCTGGGGGAGAATTTTGGAGGAGCCAGGTACTCCCCAAGTGAGAGAGAGAGAGAGAGCAGCCTGCAGAGAGGAAGTTGTGGGTACAAAACCTAGCACTATAACCGGACTGAGAAAGTCCTGGCCTCCCCCGAGCCTCCCAACATTGTTCCTCCCCCTTCCTTGTCTTGCTACAAGCTGTTGCCTGCCAAGAGAGGAGAGGAAAGATGAATGCCAGTGAGGGGAAAGCAGGTCAACTGGTAACTGCCTTTGGAGCCCCCCCAAGGGTGCAAGGTTTGGAGGACGTTCCCTTGCTGGTTCACGGAGCAATACCATGGGGTGCAGTGGGATGAAGGTCATGATAACTCAAAAGGGGAGGACACCGAAGGGGTGATCCAAGGACAAGATAGGGTAGACCTGTGTTTCTCAACCTTGGAACTTTAAGACGTGTGGCTTTTAAGTCCCAGAATTCCCCAGCTGGCTGGGAATTGAAGCCCATACATTTTAATGTTGCCAAAATTGAGACACACTGGTACAGTAGATTGGCCTGAACGTGTCTTGGGCCGCATATTAAACCCCAAATTATACATTCAGAGTAGGTACCAGCCAAGATGGACCAAACCCTGATGTGGAGATCACTGGGGACTCCACTCGTAAAGCAAGTCACCAAAAGGGATTGGGATTTGCATGGGGGTATTCAATTGGCCTTCTCCAAATTGCAACTTGATCTGGAGGTCAGTCTTGTTACTTGCTGCTGGGCCAGATCTTGGCCCTTTGCCCTGGAAAAGGAAGCAAACATCACACCTTCCTGAGCCAAAGTGTAGGCACCCTAAAACCCTTCTGCTAGTGTAAACAAAACAAAAAGCTGAAGTGGCTAGCAGAGTTAATTTATCTCAGACCTATCAATAGGAAAGAGAAGTTGCAGTGTTAATGATGTACTTGGAAATCCCTGTGTGACAACCCTGATGAGTATGCTGATTGGGAGTAGGGTGAGAGTTCAAGGGCTACAGAAATGCCCCATTCCTTGCCTAGGACAACTAACAACTCAAAGACAATAAAGTGAGGAAGTCCTTCTGTTGCATGTGTTGTATTGATTGCAACATTGGGGTGAATGGGGATAGACAAGCTTATACTGCAGCTCCTGGGAGACATAAACACCATATTTAGCAGCCCATTTCTGGAACTCTGGGGATTCTGATAAAATTCCCCAACACAAGTTATTTTTTCAATGCCTGATCTGCTGCTTGTGACTCAATTTCATATTGAGGAGTGAAATAGCCCCATCATTTAAGGATGCAAAACCTCTTAGTCATGAATGTGCTAAGACAAATATGTACATATTGCATTCGGTTTTAGATGAAGAGTCACAAACAGCCCAGTTAAATAAAATACAGACCGCATAGATCTCTAAAATGATATCGTCTATTTCCTTTATCATACTTAATAATATAAAGGGGTTTGACACCAAATTTGTTAGAGTCCAGGTGCCTTGTAAAACTAGATCTGCACATTTCCATTCCATCTGTCTTGTGGGAAAATGGATTCAACCTGGGTTAGATTTAAGATACTTAGTTCAGTGACAAAGTTCTCACTCATTTCTTATTTTTAAGGACGGGGGAAAAATTAATCACTAAACAAAGCTAGTGTTACAAGGGGTGATAACCACAGAAAGAAATGTCTATAGTATTTGGAGATTAGGATAAAGATTATCCAGCCGAGCTGACTGATATTAGGGGTATTGAATAAGCTGATAGGTAACCAGATATGTTTATTGTTTGATAGGGGGGGGAAGAAGAAGCAGAAAAATACATTTATGCTAGGGGAAGCTGGCCAAAAAATCCTCATCAAGTCATAAAAAGGTCCATTGAAAGTTGAGGAACATAGGTAAAAATTGTGGAAGATCTCAAGGGTACTGCTACTGTTTTTGTTCCCCAACCCCTCAGAAATAGTTTAATACTGATCCATGAGTGACCTGTCTTCACTTGACTTTAAAGGCTAGGAAAAATACTGTGCCAGCTTGACCTTCTACAAATTACGCAACAGCAAAAACCCCAACTACACAAAAGGGATAGAAGGAAAAGAAAAACATCAGAAGCCTGACACCTTTCATACAACAGCTGATCTTGGAGAGGAGGCTACTGACAAGAATAACAATACCACAAAATTGTCAGTTCCTCCCCCCAGCTTTTTTGTTTGAGCAAAGTGCAAAGCCTTCAAACTCTTAGAGAATCTGACCTTTGGTAACTAGCAGAGTTCCTTCCAGTGGTGGAACTCAGCCAACATCTCACTTCATGGCAATTTTAACTACACTATTATTGAAGTTGGGACAGAGAGATCAGGAACTCTTTTCAAAGAGTGGTAGAAATCTTGGATGGCAGTACCTGCAGTTCCCATAAATATGGGGAGGCTTCAGATTCAGGCAGAGTTCTTTCCCATCGTCTTCAAGCAGTTTTTGTCAACTACCTCACAATACGGGTAATCCTAGACTTATGCCCACAATTGGGCCCAGGTTTTTGTTGCTAGGCAAGACATTTGTTATGTGAGTTTTGCCCCGTTTTATGACCTTCTTTGCCATAGTTGTTAAGTGAATCACTGCAGTTATTAAGTTAGTAACGTGGTTAAGTGAATTTGGCTTCCCCATTGACTTCGCTTGTCAGAAGGTTGCAAAGACCGATCATATAACCCCAGGATATTGCAATCATCATAAATATGAACCAGTTATCAACCATATAGTATTCAGATCACATAACCATGGGGATGCTGCAATGGCCGTGTGAAAAAGCATCCTAAGTCACTCTTTCCAGTGTCCTTATAACTTTGAACAGTTGCTAAATGAATGATTGTAAGTTGAGGACTGCCTGTACCTTGATGAACCTCGAATGGTAGACAAAGACATAAAAGGACATTGCTTTTGGGAGGGGTAGTTTCTAAACAATTCCTTTTCTCTTAAAGCCTTCCTCCGTCTTCTTGAATCTTCATGAGAAAAAGATCTGATAGCCAAGAAGGGAGCCCTTCCCTGTGAATTTGACTTCAAGGATGCCCTGGAACGTCAAATGGTTGAATAACTGCAACAGCCACGGCTCCCAATCACAGAAACAATGCAAGAAATCCTCTTTTGCTTTCTATCAAGCTGTGAGAGACCAATTACCAGTGTGGCTCTTGGAAGACATGAGGCGCATGGAGGTTTTCCACTGGCAAGAAGGAGGCAAAGTCAGCACATATTCGCCTTCAGAGGCACTGCTCTATGCCCTGGTACACAACCACCAGCCTTATGCCCGATATTTACTGAGTCAATTTCCTAAAAGTGCCCTGGCAACACCCAGCCTTCATTTCAGCTGCTGCCACTCTTCAGCTCCTCACTTAGCTATGGCGGTCCGTTACAATCGTATTCATGTCCTTGTAGAGATTCTGAAGGCCGTCAAAAACTTTCCAGTAAGCGACCGAGCTACCTATTTGGACCGCCGAGGTTGCAGTCGAGTAGAAGGTGGCAAAACAGCTCTTCATGTGGCTTGTGAACTGACAAGGCCAGAATGTTTGATCTTGTTGCTGGGACACGGAGCCTCACCTTGCCTTCATGATTGTGCCGGGAACACACCTTTAGACCTACTTCTACAACAAATTTGGGAGAGTCCAGCATCAAATCTCTGCACGAAGCTTCTCCTTCTGGACTCACTCTTGCTCTTCATGCCTCCAGGCTTCCATTTCGCCATGAAACAGCAGCTGCAGGAAGAACGGCAACCATGGCAGGGCCTTCTGGGTGATAGCCGATATCAGTGGTTGGCTGGTTTTGCCCCTTTCTCTCTCTTTGTTAGATCCATGCAAGTTTTAATTGGGAGCATTTCACCTGAACATTTCCCAGAGGCTCTGGATGGTCTACCTTTGCCGCACTTTCTGAAACCTTTGGACTTGAAGTTGAAGGGCTAAGGTTATAAGCTAGAGACCCCTTCTCTCACTTTTACTCCCTCTCTTCCTCACCTTTCAGTTGCTGTTTGTGTGATGAAAATAGGTTGTGCGGAGAACCCATGTGCTGAAAATGAAATCTGTGTGGGAGAAGGAGAAACACTTGTTTTAATTAGAGACTTTTTTCCAAAGATTTTAATATGTTGTGTTTTATTTAACTATTGCTCAGTCGGAGAGAGTGGAACACCTAAAGTGTATTCTAAAAATAAATTTCATTTTATGGCAGGATGCAAAGCTTAAGCTTAACTTGGGTATGCCAAATTGTAGACTGACTCAAGTGAATTAGCATTTTAGGCCAAAAGCTATACCAAGCAATGAAACAGTAGCTTTTGTAAACCACACTCAGCAGATCAACAGTAAATAATACACCAACAGGATACTGACTTTACTGCAAAAAAACCTGGACCCAGGTTTGCTGACTCAGTCAGCAAAAGATGGTTTGGAATATGTCCAGTTTTTCAAACCCTTTCTTTGTCAACCTCAAATTACTTGCCACAGGTTTATATATAATTTAAACAAATACAACACAACCAGAGTTTGAAATGTTGGTTTAAGCTATTACCTCTTATGTCCAACTAATATGAAAAGGGACAAAAAAAATCTTATTTTTTTTATAAAACAGCTATTAGATATTAGAAAGAATTGAACTATTGGCCAACTGCCTGTCTCCCCCCCCTCTCTCATTATTTTCTCATGGCAATATATTGCAAGAGTCAATTTCTTAAAAGAATTATTATTTTCTCTGCCACCAATCGTTCACTTTTATTTAAAAATATGCACATCCAAGAGGAGGTCAAATCAGCTAAGCATTAAACAAAAAAAAACATTAAACACATAGCAATCTCCATTGGTATTAATAAGAACAATCTTTGTGGAATAATATAAGCAATAACTATTTCAGTAGAAAGTAGTGAAAACTGAAAAAACATTCAAAGTCAAGAAAATATGTTTGCAGTCATTCAAAAATTATTTGAGATCAGAAGGAAGGTTGATGAAGGTGAGAGTCAAGAACCAAGATGTAAAAATGTAAAGCTTCACATACTTTTGTTGCAATTGTTCTCTTCAGAGTCATTTCTCATCTATCTGTCTTGCTGTCTATCTATCTATTAGATTTGTATAGCCACCCAGCTCACATAGTGACTCTTTGTTTCATGAACTTTGTTAAGAACATGGGGATGTAAATATTAGCCCACTGAACACTGAATGCAGTACACATCTGCTGGTTATTCTTACTGATTGGTTTCATATCTCATCGCAAAATGGTCAAGAAGCATGAGAACAAGGTGCAAAAGAGGGTCAAATTGTGCACTAACAATAACCAAGATTCATTTACCAAATTGATGCAGGATTAGTACAGAAGGATTAGACTGAATCCCTCCCCTCCATACACAGTTGTTGGTTGAAATGCAAACACTATTTTACTTCAGTCCTTTACTTTAGTGGCACAGAGCCTTGTGGCTCTAAACTATGGTGGTTAGGGTAATGGGATCTGGACTGCGAAGACACAAACCTAAGTTCCTAGTCATTTACTAGACCATTTTAGCCTACTCTTATTCAGCCCAATCTATATCTTATGACTCTGGTAGGGATAAAAGGAGAGGAAATTCTAATACATATAACTCTGAGCTCCCAGAGTAAAGCTAGGCTATTAATGCAATGAATCAATACTGAGAATAGGAGACATGCAATTTTAACCTCTAAGGGAAAGAAACAAAATGGAATGTGGGTGGTGGAGTTGGAGGAGAGCCCCTGCTCTCGCTCAGAATCCATTGTCTTGCTTAGGTTAGATATCTAGAGTTGGAAGGGTGCATTTAGGCCATTGGTTTCAGGTTTCTTCTCCTTCCACCCCAGATACATGGGTGTGTAGCACCTGCCTGAATGTAACCAATATAACCAATCCACCTCCAATAAAATACAGTAGTATTTTATTCTACTGCAGTGGTTCTCAACCTTTTTAATGCCGCGACCCCAACCGGTTGTAAGTCGAGGACTAAACCGGTCGTAAGTTGAGGACTACCCAACCGGTCGTAAGTCGAGGACTTTCCCTGCCCGGGAGCACCACGCATGCGTGGTTCCGCCCCCTGCGCCGGCTGAGGCGTAGCTGGCAAGCAGCAGAGACGGAGCAGGCCGACCACCAGCTGGCCCAGCCCAAAGGAGGTAAGGCACCCACCGGAAAAGGAAAAAAATGGCGGACAAAAAAAATGGCGGACAGCCTTGCTTGGCGACCCCCATGAAATGGTCTATCAACCCCAAATGGGGTCCCGACCCACAGGTTGAGAACCACTGTTCTACTGTTACATTTCTTTTATAACTTGAATTACCCCATGCATGCACATATGCACAATATTTAGTTGAAGAAATCTGCTTTCCTATCATTTATGTCTATTATTCCATGTGCAACAAAATGTTGGAGAATAGATCTAGACCTTTTTACAGATCTTTGAAAAATCTTATCATAGCCCTGCTCAATCAACTTTTCTTAAGGTTAAACTTACTCTGCTCTTTTCATTCTGTCATCTTAGGGTTTAATTTCTAATCCTTTGGTTAACTTTGTAGCCCTTTTCTGAACTGCTCCATTTTTTTCTGATTCTCTCTTAAAGTGCACTAGTCAGAATTTAGCACCATACTCAAGGTGACTTTCAACCAAAGCAAAAGAGTGGAAAAATTATTTATTGTGAGTTAAAAGCATACTTCTATTGATACAACCTAAGATTGCATCTGCCTTCTTGGCAGCCAAGATATTTTTCTCGAGTACTATCATAAGTCAGATATCCCCATTCTACACTTGCACAATTGATTTTTTTAAGTGAAGAAGTCTGACCTTGTGTCTTAAATTGTATTCTATAGTACTGGTATTAACTTATTAACCTATCTTCTAACTGTACAGCTGTAGTTGCAATAACCTATCAAAATCATGTTGAATTTTATTTCTTTGTTCTAGGGCAGGGGTGTCAAACTGCCAGCCTGCGGGCCGGTTGCATCATGCAGAAGCCACACCCACCCCAGCTCTGGCAATGTGAAAAAAGTCATGATACATCGCGACATGTCATGTGACGCGGCGAGTTTGACACCGTGTTCTAGGGCATTAAGCTATCCCACCCGTTATCATCTGCAAGTTTGATAAATATTCCCTCTGTCAAACTTCACATTAGGATAGTCTCAGTTTCCAGATACTTAACCCTTGGTCAGCAATTAAGCAAATGCTCTCTACAGCATTTTAAATTTATTCACTTGAATTTTTGAGCAAGAAAGGGCGCTCTTAACTTACAATGAAGCACATTCTGTCTCTTCTGTTTCCTTTAAATAAATGCTATCCTTCAATTGCTATATTTCAGTCATAGAAGACATTCCATAGGTCTCTCTGTTTCATATTAAATCAAGTTGGTGCTTCTAGATAAAGAACTCAAGCTTGATCTTGTTTATTTTCATTCTCTGAGTAAAAGTGTACAAAGAGGGCCATTAACTTTATGAGTTGATGTTCTTTTTATTTGACTCTTGGTTGGTTGTAGAGGCTTTATTTTAACAATGTTGTTTAACAACGTTCTATAACTTACATGCCTTTATACGAGGGACTTATTTCAGGATTTACATTCCACATTTCATAGGATTGAAGTTAAACCTCTCTAATCAATCTTTACATGTTTTGGCCAAACTCGCTTGTCCTTGTGAAGTGTAATCCTTCTTATTACAGTGATTAATTATCTTAGAATAGAATAGAGCTGGAAGGGACCTTGGAGGTCTTCTAGTCCAGCCCCCCCCCCTGCTCAAGCAGGAGAACCTATACCATTTCAGACAAGTGACTGTCTAGCTTCTTCTTAAAAACCTCCAGTGATGGAGCACCCACGATTTCTGGGGGCAAGCTGATCCACTGGTTAATTGTCCTCACTGTTAGGAAGTTTCTCCTTAATTCCAGGTTGCTTCTCTCTTTAGTCAGTTTCCAACCATTGTTTCTTGTCCTGCCCTCTGGTGCTTTGGAGAATAGACCCCCTCTTCTTTGTGGCAGCTCCTCAAATACTGGAATACTGCTATCATGTCAGCCCTATTTCTTCTTCTTTTTAGATTATCCTACACCCACGTGCTGCAGCCGTTCTTCATATGTTTTAGTCTCCAGGCCTTTGATCATCTTAGTTGCTCTTCTCTGAACTTTTTCCAAAGTCTAAACATCTTTTTTGTGATATGGTGACCAAAATTGGTTGCAGTATTCCAGGCGTGGTCTTACTAGGGTTTTATAAAGCGGTATTAATACTCTGCAGATCTTGATTCTATGCCTCTGTTTATACAACCAGGATTGTATCAACTTTTTTGGCGGCGGCTGCACACTGCTGGCTCATAGTCAAGTGATCGTCCACTAAGACTCCAAGGTCCCTCTCACAGTTACTGTTTTTGAGCCAGGTCTTGCCTAATCTGTGCTTGCACCTTTGGTTTTTCTTGTCTAAATGTAAATTTTTGCTTTTCTCCCCATTAAAATTCATTTTGTTGGATAGGGCCCATTGTTCAAGTTTGTCAAGATCTTTTTGGATCCTGAGCTTATCTTCTGGGGTGTTGGCTATTTCTGCCAGCTTAGTGTCATCTGCAAATTTGATGAGTTCCCCTTCTATTCATTCTAAGTCATTAATGAAGATATTGAAGAGTACTGGGGCTAAGATGGAGTCTTATGGTACCCCACTGCTTACTTGTTACATCAGACAAGGGTTATCGAAATCAGATCTTTTCCATCATGATAATTGGATTGTAGTAGTCTTCTTACCTTTTCCTGTCTTCTTCCATGGACTGGAAGAATGAATGGGAATGCTTCCTGAATGCTCAGGTTCTTAATTTCCTTTCTGCAATTTGAACATGGAGTAGTAGTGGTTCCCGTCCTATTTTGGTAAATGTCCTATTTTCCTGCCTGTGCTGAAGGGCCATCAGACCCTTGAGAAGTTATAATAAGAGACAGTGTTTGCCCAACACATCCAGCCACAGCTAGGCAACCAGAGTTTAGCTTGATATAATGATGCCCAAATTGTAATCTAGGACTCATGTCAAAACTAAATAAAAACTAATAATCAAAATTTTGAGCATGGATACCAATAACTCATGAGATTTGGTCAAATGTAAAGAGGTTTTTTTAATTTTAAAAAAAAAAGTTGAGGTCC